CAGTTTCCAGCTAGTGTCCAAGCTTCCTCTTGCTTCAGCCAGAGTTCAGCTTGAGGGGGGATGTTGGATAATAATACTAATAGTATTTCTAGTAGTATTGGTTATGGTAGTGTTTTATTATTAGTCAGCTTCCTAATCCTATTTGTGGTAGATGTTGTATGTTAATTAGTTTCCATTATCTATTCCTAGTTGTGTTAGGAGTATCTCTCCTATATATACTCTATCATATACTTCATAATTCAATGAGCAATATTATTATTCTAATATTTCAATATTCCAACAAGGTCCTCTTGCCTTCCTCTCACATCTTGGAACCTCCTCTTGCATTAGCTACTCAAACACCACCAATGACATCACATTAATGCTCATTGTTTCAGAAATATATCATACTCCCTCGTCTAACTAAAATGTTCTCGTTCACAATTCACATTGTCAAACTTTATTCAATTTGTTGTCGTATTTTCGCTATCAATTTGATAAAATAATATAGCCATGTCATTTCTAATTTTGTAGATCTTTTCATGTAGTTTTTGAATATGTAATTTTTTTTAATTCCATACGATTTTCCATGTAAAATGATTTAAAAATAACTTCAATCAAACATCGTAACGCGCAATGAGAACATTATTGTTGGACGGAGGGAGTATAATTATTGTCCGTGTCTAATTGTCTTTGAGAAATTGATAATGTCAAAATAGAGTTATTCTAAATATACGACCATCAAATTTTGCCAAAATATTAAAATAATCTCATGCACGTTCCAACGCTACAATAGAGAATGTGAGAATAAAAGTACAAATGTAGTGTTAAAAAAAGAACAATAACAAATTTTTACCAAATAGATGCAAATATGTGTAAAAATTAATTAGATACTCTAAACTAATTTTTTAATCACACTTCATCCTTATATCCTAAAATCTACTTCACATTTGCTTTTTATTTTTTTAATACTATAACTCTTAAAAATATCATGAATAGAGAATTTTATTTTTCTTAGTAACACCAATGCAATTTATTAGAGAATCAGAGTAGAATTAAAACATAACTTTTACATATTAAAAAATTATATCAAAAGCCCAACAAAATAAGTATTGACATAATTATATTATTTTATAAAATGAGTTAACGAAAATAGGAAAAATAAATAAATAAAATTCGAGAGTCTGTGAATATATATAAAATTTAGGAAAAATTACCCAAAATAATCCCAACTTTATCCAGTCTTTCAAAAATAATCCCACCTTTCACTGTGATGCATAATAATCCCAACTTTATTGAAATCTGCCAGTTTTGGGTCGCCGTTAAGTTTCTAACGGAGGGTTAACGGAAATGCCCGTTTTAGGCAACAAAATGAAAGTTGGTATTATTTTTGATGAATTTTTGTTTTTTAATTTTTTTTGAAATTTTTATTTAAATTTTTTGAATTACTTTCAACTTCCATTTCTTTTTCTTTTTTAAAGATTATTCTTACCTTAGAAAAAAATAGATATAAAAAATAATGAAAATGAGAAAAATAACTAAAACCATACAAAATTAATCAAATAAATAATGTAATCAATAGAAATTAAACAGAAACTCCGAAATAAAATAAATATATACGGAGTGGTGGGTTTTAACATTTTACACGCTATACGGAGTCTTAATGTACTACTTATTTTTTAAAAGAAAAAGCCGTCCGGTAAAGTTGGAATTATTGTAGATAATTTTTTCTAAAAAATAAGAAGTGATATGTTAATTCTTTGTATAATGCGTGAAATATTAAAACCCACCCATATATTTTTATTTTACTTTTACCAATTTCAAGTTAGTTTCCATTGATTACCTTATTTATTTTATTATTTTTGTATCATTTTAGTTACATTTCTCATTTTTTTTCATTTTTATATCTATTATTTTTATTTTTTAAACTAAGACTAATCTTT